CGATGAACCTTGACGGCACCACCTGCCAAGAGCTCTCCGACGATCAAATTAGTCAGGGAGGTCTAAAAAAAAGGCAGTGATTAATAATAGTTTTTACGTCGTACCTTCTTTAATGGCTTGATGCCCTATTTATGGCTGTCGATTGGAATCAAAATCGTTCCGCTGATGTTGATGGTTGACCTTATCTTCCGCTTGTGCGAAATCATAGGAGATTTATTACCAGATTTGTCGGGATATGATTTAATCCTTTTGACCTCCTCCAGTTATAGTAGGATTATTCTTACCTGTTGAACCACGTCAGATTTGATTTCATTATCCTTGATAATGAAATCTAATCAATCTTATCGAGGGTATGGTAGGTTTATATTTTTCCCTATCAACATATAACATAATAAGCGATTAATATGTGTAGTAAAGTAAAGAGGTAAAGAGACCTGCACACCAAATATACGTGAAAAAAAACCTACCCTACCAGTAAATAAAAAAACTACGGGACTTGCTCGACCTGGAAATTCACTATGAAGAAAGAGAGTACAACTAGTTTAGTTCAACAAGATAAACACCGACCTACCTCCGTTCTCAACAAGACAACAAATCTTTAATACCCATTCATCACAATTGATTTACTCCACGGTTAGTTTCAACCCACTTGCTCTATTAGACGTACTCTAAAAGATCTCTTCAGTTATCCTCCAGCTGATCCATCTAACAACTACGTAATCCCATTGATCCACATCAATCCAATCATGCACTGGTTCTTCAGCTTGGAATCGTTCTGACAACCAATATGTTCACCACTTCACAGTTTGGTTTGGTTTGATTCTAGTGTTTTTCTTTCATACTCAATTCATCTAACTAATTTATTTCTATTTTACTCATTAAATATATAATTATTAAATTACATTGAGCGAGTTTTTGTACTATGAAAATTTTCAATCACATTAATAGAATTACAAAAATGCTAACAACTATTCTTTCTTACTAATGTAGGAAGATTTCTATTTTTTTTTTTCCTGATTGCGTCAAGTGGTATCAAATCCTTTCCAGTAAGATTTGTGATTATTGTAGATCTATAGCCAGACAAGGAAGTAAAAATGCTAAAAAAAGATGATTTTAAAAATTTGCAACATCAAATTTCTCGATTGAGCATTATATTAGAGCAACGTGGAATCGTTTCTCATCCTAGTCTGGACAATAGGAGATAAAGGAATCAACAAATGAATGCATGTCAACGTAAATATTGGACACTACAATTTACTAGAGAAAAAATTTAGTAGCATAAGCAGTTCAAAAGTGAAATAGGACTGAACAATCTACTATATAGTTTGCATTTCATGGATTTAAGGTGAGAAAGTGGGAACCATTTATCTCAAGTTGATTCCCAAGTTCTAAAAACTTCAAAGCTTTCGTTGGTCTTCAAACAAATAGATTGAAATTTTTAAGATGGCATGTGGTGCAATAGACATTACATTAGATTTATGTTACTTGAATAACTTGGTTAGAAATGAATCTATTTTGTTCATGGTGTTGAAAAATCATGAATTTCATATTTGTGATCCGATTTGGGATATAAAAATAATTATGAATTCCATATTTGTGATCTGATTTGGGATATATGAATTCTTAGCACTACATATAGCCAGGTGTTGTTTCAATGCAAAAATCAGATTAATTCAGGTCTTGGTTCTTAATTTGTGTTCAAACAGGTTTTGAAAATCTACTAAATTTCAAAAGAGAGGTCTGAAAGAAAGATTCTTTGCCAGTAACACAAGATTGGTGTGTTTTGTTCGAGCACGGAAAAGAAGAAAAAAATGATGGAGGGCTATGTTTGAGTTTTTAATAGATCGTGGTAAATTGCTTTAAACTCGGGGCGAGTTTTCTTCAATGAGGAGGGTTTGATTCAAATTACTCACGGTGCTTTGGAAAGAGTCTAGCTCAAATTTTAATTATAATATGAAAAATTTGAATATGTCATGAGAATAATATAAGTTGTTATTAATTCTGTGCGAGTAGTCTAAAAATTAGTCCGAAGTGTCATCCGAAGTGTCATTCATAGTTTTATTATAAAATGGACAACGTTGTATGTTGTAACCAAGACTTAATCAATATCATGTTGAGTTATTTTCAAGTTGCAAAATTCTAGGCTTTTTTTCTAGATTTTGTTTTAGAAATCTATGCTTCAAGGGCGATTAGAGTAACCCTATTGTTTTACTGTTGTAAAAAGAAATCTAATTATTATTATTTATTTTGGGGTTAAAATCACAAAATCACCCTGTACTTTTAAATTTGTGCATAAAGCCCCAGGAAAATTAAAAAAATCCCTGAACTAAAAAAAAAGTTATCAAGTTACTCCCATATTTGTGACTGACCCATAAACTTGGTTGAGAAATGATAAAATTGACCTTGTTATTTAATGTTAAATTAAAATGTTGAAAAATTATTATTTTAAAATTACAAAAATAATAAAGGACCATTAGATAATTTTAAATTACACAATTGTTTAAAATTACAAAATTATTATTTAATTTTAAATTAAAAAATTGATATTGTTATATTAAAATTACAAAAATAATTTTAAAAAATTATGATCAGCATTTTAATTTAACAGTAAATAGTAAGATCAATTTTGTCATTTCACAACCAAGTTAACGGGTTAATCACGAATTTTTAGTTCAAGGCATTTTTGTAATTCTACTGGGAGTTTTATGCACAATTTTAAAAGTACAAGAGAGTTTTTATGATTTAATCATTTATTTATTTTGCATCATAAACTACCTAAAGTTCAGGGTTGGAGAAAGAAGAGAGAGAGTTATAAAGCTCAAGAGCATGATGTTGTGTTAGTCTGAGACGCCTCACTTGTAAACAAAGTCTTTAATCTTCACACACCCATTTTGCCCTACTTGAGCCTTCAACTCTCCAACTCACCTTTACAGAAGAGGATCATATCCTATGATACATGATACTCTGTGTATATGTAAATGATAAAAATGATTCCATATGAATTGTAATTTTTATAAAAAGTGTGAATTCTAATTCACACGGAGTGATCTCAACCCTCTCTTATACACGGAACATCCTGTGGAACAAGAGGGATCCAAGTCCCACCTTTACACCACCCAAGTCAAGCGCCCCCTGATTATCTCACAGATTATTTTGTTAATCTAGAGCTTTCCATCTTTATTTATTTATTTGGTAAAACTTTCCATCTTTATACTTTCAACAATGATGTTGACAATAAATGTGACAAGTCCAAAGTATATATGAGAATTACCTTTGCAATGAATAGGGCCTCATTTCATCTGGACGAAAATTATTAAAATCGTGCAACATTAAACTTTCATAGCAAAACCTGCTTATGAAAAAAAAACAAAAAAAAAAATTTCATAGCAGGCCCCATCACCATACCCAAATGACGTGCAAAGATAAAAATGAAAAACATTAATAGTTTTTACAAGGATTTTTGACCTAACCGTATAACTTCTCTACCCTCAAAAAGAAGAGAGATTTGAACAAGACTTAAGCAAAAAGGTGTGTTTACTTTACGGTTAAGGAAAAAAAATGGCCATCAAGTATGTAAATATCTCCAACTAAAATCTTTTATATCACATACTATAAATTTTGAGTACCAAAAATGTAAAAAGGAAATATTGCGTCGTGAAAATACCTTAAGCATGTGTTGGGCTTGGAAGTTCGTCTTCAAAATGAAAGATTTATAATTCAACCCTCCAGATGAAAAAAGTTGATATGTGAATTATTTGTCAAAAATGTATATTTTTCTTAAAGGATAAAAACCCCCAAAAAAAAAAAAAATTTTATTTTTAAAATTATTTTAATATTGTAATTATTATTATTTTATTATAATATGTTCTAACCTAAATGGTATAATCTCTTCATTCCCTCTTGAGAGGTTGAGATTACTGCCTCGTCTCAATTTGCTACGGATTAGAAAACTGAATTAGAGAGAGGAATTTGTGAGACTAGTCTAAATCATTGGGGGAGTTATGCCTACTTCAATATGTTCAATCAGCGCACGAAATTTTTGATTGAAGGCTCCGACAAGAATTTGAACTCATTCTCACCATTTTCCTCTTAGGTTTGGGAATGGATCTACTTCACTCCATGAACAGTACCAGTAATCCACATGCTCTTGAAGAAATTCATAGCAATACAAGGGAGGCATTGAACTACATGAAAAAAAAGTCTTATCCTCTTCATAGTAGAAGGCACCAACATTTATTATATTTTGAACGTTAGTTTTTTATTTTTATTATAGAAATGTATTGGTTTTCTGCAATTACTCCGACACATTCAACAAAATACGGTGCAGAAATTACGAAGGACCAATTTAGTTTCCCTTTGAAAAACCATCCAATTGTTTTTTTTGGATGATAAAGCAAACTTACACACACATGCCTCCACTGAGGCTTGAATTCCTAACCTCCCTTTCAGGGAGGCCAAGTTTGTACCAGCTGGGCTATTGCCCACATGATCAAACCATCCAACATTTCAACATCTTTAGAAATCAATTACATTAGAAACGATGTGAAATTTAGCTTATTACAAGGGCGAGCCTTGGTTCAACAGTAAGTTTGCTCTATGGTGACCTAGAGCACACTGAATTGAAAAAAGAAACAACATACCTGCATGCGAGAGTGAGCATTGGTGCAACGGTAAGATCTATTGATTTGGAGGGCACTGAATCAAAAAGAGAAACAACCTATTCGCATGTGTAGATAACACTGCGCACAATTGATCCTCCCTAGGCTCTGCAATGACGGTAGCCTCCGTTCATTGGACTAGCCCTTTAAATACATCAGATTAATCACAAGAACTAAAGCTCCAATGTGGAGGACATAATTACACTAAAAAAGTTTCAATATAAATAGCCATGTAATAAAATGGAGACATTTTTAAGTGTCAAAATATACAACAAAAAAGGTTTCCTCCAGAATGATGGAAGACAACTAGTTCAGCACAGCCATTTAAACGAACTCCCAGTCTAAGACCATAAACGTGTTTAAGCACCACTTCCACGTAAACTCTTCAAGAACAAATTTTCAGTTCCACATCAAAATAATTGTATACATTTTTCACCACTGAAAGTGGCAAAGTGTCAAAATACAGAATCACTATAAAGGACCAAATCATGATCATCCTGTACTAACTTCTATAAATACAACAAAATAACAGCTTTTAAATATTGTACAAACGACTCTACAGTAAAACACTGCACAACGGAGGCAGAGAAAAAATTCCTCCTATAAACCTCATATGGACATAGAATTAGGATGACTCAACAGATAACTAGGTTTTGTGGAACAGCTTCCATGTGTCAGCTGGCTAAACTAATTTTTTGCAGCGCCAACTCCGTGGTGATGAGTCTAAGTAATACATGCACCAGTTCTCTTACTCTTGCTTCCCTGTCAATTAGTTCACAAAATATAAGATTTACACCATCTCACGTAAAAAATAATAATAATTATGTACCATCTTATTTTTCATCACTCTAACATTATGGGACAGATTTACTTTTTACAGTTTGCTTTATATACCTGCCGGTTTACACTTCAGTGGTTGCCTATTGGCTCTAGTAGTTAAAAGTAGAAGTCTTCTCCTCCCAGTACCCCAAGTAGGCACGGGACATACAAACGAGGTATGTCCTGTGCCTCTTGATCTCAAACAATTGGGAAATGGTAGAGATTCAAGTTTCACCATGCATACAAATCTCAAAACCACCTTCAATTTCAAGTTTCATTATGCACAAGAAGTGAACCTCTCTTGATCCTGAAACACATCTTAATTTGTATTGGTTTTAGGTTTACTGTCACCAATTTGAACTAGGAAGTTAGCAGACATCCGCAGCGTCTCTGCTATGAGAAAATTCATACCTGCTTCATCCATAACTGAGAGTAGTGGGAGAACGAAAAACAAAAAAGAACGGGAGGGTTGAAAATTGAGCCCGTTGTATATCTACGACAAGAAGTCAGGATAACTACTACTTACTTTTTCATGGTTTAATATTGTATCTTTACATGAAAAAGTCAAGCATGCTCTCTACCAGACTACCACTAATATTATATTTTGCTAAGGGTAAAGTTAAGAAAAAAAAAACACTGCTATATACAGAATGTGCAAATACCTTGTGTTTAAAAAACCCACTATTTTTTTTTTATTTTGAGCAAATAAGGACATTTTGTCAATTTGCCTCTGAATGTCTAAAATACCCTTGAGATGAAATTTTAAAAAGAGAAAGAAAAAACACAGAACAAACAAAATGACAAAACACACATTCTCTCGGCAATACACCTATAAAAGCACCATAATCTCTCTCTATATATACCACTATCCTCACTGGCAGCTGGAAATACTTGCCATAATCATTGTTTATTAGCCCGAATATGAGACCCAGCCGCCATTATCGTCGTCACCTAAAACGCATCGCATCGCCATATTGTCTATCGTTCTAACAGGAGGTTTCAGGCAGGAAATCAATAGAATTATATCACAGATCTTACCTATTCAACCTAATTGATTGTTTTTGGAATTAAATCCTCTTTACCTTTCAAAAATAAAAATACTTATACATTCTATGATGGGATATGATGATTTCTCGCAAGTGGAGATAGTGGTGGGTACGATGGGATTGTGAACCGCAGAGAACATAGCAGGTTAGTAAAGGAGAGCAATTACATATAAAAGGTGGGTAAAACAGAGCATTTATAACTTGGTGGAAAAAAAAGCAGAGCATTGATTTGGTGACATAAGACATTGATTTGAATGGGACAGAGAATTTCAGTTGTATATTCAATGAGCAAGAATTGATTATCCAAAAAATTTAATAATTTGGAGTGATTTGAGGTCAAATAGTTAGGATTTTGAGGTTTAAATCGTGGGTTGAACAGGGTTTCTGTTTGCTGATGTGAATTGGGTGGAGAATAAGACCCAAGTCAAGCCAATGAAATCCCACACGCGTTGGTGGCACGTACAGCATATGTGGGCCATGGGGGATGGTTCTAGCGACGGAATGAGCTAGTTGTGCTCCACTTGCTCAGCCCAGGAGGATGGGCTCAGTTTCGGACACCACCGAAACAAAAATTTAATAATTTGAAGTTAAATTAAACATGTGTATATATAATACAATAGTAGGCCTTTAGGGGTATTTTTGTCACTCCTAAAGGGTAATTTTGGATTTAAAAAAATTTTGGAGTCAGAATGGCTATATTTTAATGATTATATTAAAAGGGGGCAATAAGCTACAAATTTTCAAAATACAGGGATTTATATGCACTTTTTAAAAAGCACGGGTGTTTTTTGCACAATTTTTTTTATATATGGAGGGTTTTTTTGCACTTTAACCTTTTGCTAATAACAAATTCTAGATTTAATAAAAAGTGGTGGTTGCTATAAGGATATATGCCGAGTGTCATGTGGTCCTTGTCCTAACATTATAGTGCTATTTCAATCATTATATGTTCCTTCAGCTGTCCAATAACTAGGTTCTTGCTTAAAATAATTCTTACCTTGATATTACAAGCTCACAAAAGGACGGAAAAAGAACAAGCAGATGTGGACGCTTTTCATAATTCTCCTCTGCGAGTCCTCCTTTCAGATATGGATGTAAAGGAAGCAAGGATGCTGTATCTGAATGAATTACCAGACGGGCCAGTTCTTGAAGCACGTATACGATTTCTTCAAGTCTTGCTGCTGGCAATGAACGCTCACCTACATAAACAGTTGGATTTTTTAAGAGGGCGTAATCTTGAGCTCAAGATGATATGCAACACTAATTGAAGTTTGCAAATTGTGAAGCTACACACCTAATTCATTCTCATCAATCAGAAACTTTTTAAAAATGTATTCGCATCTGGTCATGAGTATCATGATTGAAAATTTGCTAACTTCAGATCTGGTCAAATTCCAATCGTCGACTTCATTGCTGTAACTGAGAAGAAATAATAGTGTGTCAACACCCAACATAGTAATAGATTGGAGGCATTGCACGTTCGTTATATGAGAGCTTTAAAGATTTTTTTAATTCGGTATCAGAAAATGCTGATTGAAGATGGTGAAACATTTTAGCTGATAAAGGCAGTAATTAAAAAAGTGCACATTGAGATAAAACTGATAACTCATCAAGGTTGATAATTCGTAGGATCGAAACCCAAGGCTCTGATAGAGAGTTATGCATGGTCCACTGATCTAGACCAAAAGTGGGGTGAATATAGCAGATAGTAACAACCGAAAAAGTCCACAGCAATAAGTAAGCAATTAAAAATAAAGCAATGGACAACAGATTTTATGTGGAACACCTTAAGCAGGGAAAAATCACAGGACCTACTCCAGGCAAACCAAATCCACAATCAGAGAATAAGATTACAACCTAGGTTATATCCCCAGAATCCCCTAGTTACCCCTCCTGACACAGGAATTTCCAAACTTTCCTGCAAAAGTCTCAGGAAATCCTTCTGCTTGTCAACATTCGTTCCTCACGAACCTGCTTCTCTAGTGAATTAGGCTCAGCCACTAGTCGTCCAGGCTTCAATCAGAGTTGGTGGATTGAAAAGTTGTGTTGAACTCTTCTTTATAGTATGCATCTTGCAGCCATAGATGTCAACACATGAAGATTACATCACCAACTATTGAAGATTTAATGGAGGAATCAGTGGAGGAAAATCCTTCAGTAATTGATGTTGTTTCCTATTATTGAAGATTTATTGTTACTAGAGGAAACAATGGAGATAAATCATATTTGTTTCCTATTTTCTGTCTCTTTCCATTCTCATCATTTCTTCTCCTATATAAAGGAGCCTCCACCTCTGTATTGTGTATGAGTTGAGAGAGGGTTATAAAAGTGATGTAGCCTTTTGGGCTCTTTGTGCCATGGATGTAGGCCCTAGTTGCTGAACCACGTAATATCTGTGTTCTTCTTGTTTCATTTCTCTCTTCACTTATGTTTTATGCTTTACAACATGGTATCAGAGCCTAATTTCTCTTCCTAGGTTCGGACCCTTATTTCTGTGTATTGTATTCCCTTAGCATAAAAAATATTGCTAAGGGTTTCTCAGTGCTATTTGTGACTTGTATGGGCTGCCAGCGTGCGCGGTAGCATTGTTATTCGCCTTGTCCGTGTCTCCGGCAGTTTGTATTGAATTGTTTGGGCTGCCGGTGTGTTCGGTAGCATTGTCTTCGCCTTTGCCATGTCTCCAGCAGTTTTTATTGATTTGTTTGGGCCTATGTTACATGGACTCTTCAAAACAGAGTGCTGCCAAAACAGTTATACAGTCACAGAATAGTTGGACAGCAATGGTGAATGATACCAAGGAGTCTGAATTTTGGTGCCACAGACACGGGGAGCTGAGATGCAAATCCGCCTAGTGTCCAATAACTTTAGAAAATTACATGATCAATGCAAAACAAATCTTGCTTGAGGAATATGCTGGAAATCATGTTGATTTTGAGAATGCCAAATCAGCTTGGGATGAATTTGTTGGATGGGTTGATGAAGAATGTGAGAGACTGGAGGAAAATTCAACTTTTGATGAATCTTTTGAAGTTGTAGATGAAGAAGATCAGATCTTGGGGGTGCATTCAACTTCCCATCTTCCAGAATTTGACAACAATAAAGAGGAATGAAAAGATAAAACGAAGGCGGAAGAGGAGAAGTCTGAAGAAGCAGCCAACATGTTAGAAGCTGACATTGAAGAGGACAATGAAGCAGGTAAGAGAACAGAGAAATCTAAGGAAGCTACTGGCAACTTGTGTAAAATCGAAGAAGTTGTCATCATTTAACCTGTGTATCATGGATCTGAGAGTAAAAATAATGAATCTGAATCAGACTTTGCTTCTCAAGGTGGGCAATCTGAAGATAAAAATATTGAACTTCCAGTTGTACTTGGTGCAGGAAGCATTACAGCAGATTTATGTTTCTTGAAAAATTTGGTCAGAACTGATTTGGAAAGGGTTCTTGGCACGACATACAACTAGGAGTAGCTCCAATGCAAACATCACAGTAGTTCAAGGCTTGGTTCTTGATTTATCTTCAAGCAAGTTTTGGAAATTTCACAAGAGAGCTCTGAAAGTTTGTTCAAAGTAATTCTTTTTCAGTAACAAAGCTTATTTTGCTTTGATCAAGCATGGAAAAGAAGAAAGGAAGGATGGAAGGCTTTACTTGGGCTCTTCTTTGATCGTGGTAAATTGTTTCAAACTCGAGGCCGAGTTTTCTTCAAGGAGAATGGTCTAATGCAAATAATTAATGGTGCTTTGGAAAGTGCATTGAAGAAAAATTCAGAGAGTCATCCTTGTTTTGGGTACTACGTAATAAAGCTTTGGAATTACTGAGTATTTACTTAGGAAAGTGGAAGAGTGTTATTAATGCTCTGTGGGTAGTCTAAAAGGCAGCCTCAGTGGAATGAGAGAGTATCATTCATGGATTTACCCTTTCACTTCTCTTTTTCTTCTTCTTCTTCTTCTTCCCTCCTCTAGGTTTCTTTGGACATTCTCCAAGAACGTAACCTTTTTGCAATAGTTTCAGCAAGTGACTTCTTTTTAGTTTTCTCGTCTTTTCTAGAGTCCTTTTTATCCTTAGAATTATCTTAATCAAATTTAAGAATTTTTTTGGACTTTCTAGCAAGCAGAGCAATCAAAATCTTCCTCAGTTTCACTACAAGAGCTATCACTACATTCTTCCTCAATAGCTTTAAGTGCAATACCTTTGTTCTTTTTAGGAGGGGGGGTTGGTTAGCTCATAGGTTTCTAGTGCACCAACCGGATCAACTATCTTTATAATATCTATATCTTTGCTTTCTTCTATGGTAGTGACCTTAGACTGAAAATGTTGAGAAAGAGATCTAAGGATTTTTCTAACTACTTTTGTTTCAGATATAGTCTCACCAAGCATGAAGCTACTGTTCACTAAGTCATTCACTTTAGTGTAATATTCAACAAAAGTTTTATGATCTTCCGTTCTAAAATTTTCGAACTTAGTGGTCAACATCTGTAATTTATAAATTTTCATGGGTGTCGTTCCCTCGTGAACTTTCTCAAGAATTTACCAATAATGCAATTCTTAATTCTGCCAAATTCATTAGCACTGCCAGTAGAGGAAATAGCACTAAATGCTGAAGAATTAAAATTGGACTAAACTAGTTCATCTTTAATCCAATCTGTTGGAAATTGTGTCTCAAATTCCTATTCAAATTAGGATTATATTTTAGAGTTGTATTCTGTAAGGTAATTTCCTGTTTGGCAAGTCTTGGCTTCTAGGAAACTGTAATCCTTGTCCAACAAGGAATTGTGTTTGTAACTCTATAAATAGGTACATATGTTGTCGGTTGAGACTTATGAGATTGAGAGATATGTAGTTTCATGAGGGAGTTGATGGGTAGAGGTAGTATGTGGGTTGGTAGAGTAGGAAAAACACCGATGACACTGTTAGCGAGGAGATAGGCTCATGGAGTGGTACATGGTGAAAAGACATGTACGAGGTGTTGGTACTCTATTGTTGCAATATCTCTAAGAATCATAGTGGAATCTCTTCTCATCCATGGATGTAGGCCGGTTTTGGCTGAACCATATATATCTTGTGTTTGTGTGTGATTGCTTTGTTAGCTTTCATTGGATCTTTATTTATTCGCGCGCTTCCGCTGTCTCAACAAATTGGTATCAGAGCCAAAGGTGAAGGAGATCCAGAAAACACAAGAAGTCTTAACATGTGCTGCAACAGGCTGCAGTTGTAGGTGGAGTCAATCGGCTTGGTTATATGGCATGAAGCTTGAGTAGTCAAGGTGGAGCCTTGGAGGTTTGACTGATCAAGCAACAAATAATGTGGACAATCGGACTTTCGCAGGAGTATTGTCAAGATTGAAGCTACAAAAGAATTGTCCTAATCAATGCCGTGGAAGCAATGATTGGCTAGATGGAATTTAAGCCAAGGTGGAGATTGTTGGAAATTGTGTCTAAAATTCCTATTCTAATTAGGATTCTATTTTAGAGTTGTATTATGTTAGGTAATTTATTGTTTGGCATGTCCTGGCCTCTAAGGAATTGTAATCCTTGTCCAACAAAGAATTGTGTTTTTAACTCTATACATAGGTACATATGTTGTGGGTTGAGACTTATGAGATTGAGTGATACGTAGTTTCATGAGGGAGTTGATGGGTAGAGGTAGTATGTGGGTTGGTAGAGTAGGAAAAATACCGATGACACTGTTAGCGAGGAGATAGGCTCGTGGAATGGTACATGGTGAAAAGACATGTACGAGGTGTTGGTACTCTATTGTTGTAATATTTCTACGAACCATAGTGGAATCTCTTCTCATCCATGGACGTAGGCCGGTTTTGGCTGAACCATGTATATCTCGGGTTTGCGTGTGATTGTTTTGTTGGCTTTCATTGGATCATTATTTATTCGCGCGATTCCGCTGCCTCAACACAATATTGGTTTAAAACTTTTGCTTTTAGTAGAAGAAGCGTAACCAGAGAGCTAGACCTTTTCATCCATAGATTTCAGACTAACCCTCATGTGAGTTTTTATCTTTCTACCAGTCTTGAAACCTTAACCTGGGGCTAGGGACATAAGATCCAAAACCACCAGGTGGCCTTTCAGGCGAGCTTTCCAATAGCTGTAATTACATCTTTCGAAGAGGATGGGCCTAGATATGGAACTGCCTTCCTTAAGACCTTCCATGACCTACTTAGTACCAATTGACGATTCCTAAAATGGGAACCCAAAGTTCTGATATAGAGTTGCCCAAGGTCCATTGATCTAGACCTAGAAGAGGAGGGGCGTGTGAATACGTCTTGTATAACTTCTCAAAATTAGAACTTCTTTAACTGAAATTTGAACTCAGAATATAGTATATGGTAAAAAACTAAAAATAAAGCAATGGAGAGGGGAAAACCACAGGATCTTGACTAGGCAAACCAAAACTACAATAAAAAAGAAAGAGATTACGAACAAGGTTAACAGATTCTACCCCAAAATTCCCCCAGTCCCTGTTCGGGCAGTGGAAACACACAAACAACAAGGTCCAAATGAAAGCCAACACCACAAACACAAGATACAACGTGGTTCAGCCAAAACTGGCTTACCTTTTCACCATGTACAACTCCACAAGCCTATCTCCTCGCTACCAGGTGTTTTTCCTACCCTACCAACTCATACACCATCTCTACCCATCAACTTCCTCATGAGATTACATCTCTCTCAATCTCATAAGTCATAGCCCATAACCTAGGTACCTATTTATAGAGTTCCAAACCCAATTCCTTGTTGGACAAGGATTACAATTCCTTGGACTCAAGACTTGCTTAACAATAAATTACCTAATAAATTACAACTCTAAAATAGAAACCTAATTAGATTACCTCAAAACACAAAAGACTCCATAAATTCCCTCGAAAGTCTCCACGCAGTCTTTCCGTTCGTCTACATCTGTTCTTTACGAACCTGTTTCTCGACTAATTCAGTCTCAACCAGTAGTCGTCCATGTTTCAATACACTTTTTTTTTTCAATAAGTAAAAATGTATTAGAAAGCATTCAAAAGGGGAACGCGTCCCAAGAGCTGTACAAAATCCAAAAGAGAAGGGGGTGAAGACCTATGGACCCAAAGAACCCAAAAAGTCCACGATTTCATCTAAAGATGAACAATTTATACCCCAACCCCAACTAAAAAGAGAACAAACAATAGAAAACTTCCAACGTCCATGTTTCAATAACAAATAGAGGACTGAAAAGTTGTGTTGAACTCTTCTTAGTAGTACGCAACAATAGATGTCAACACATGTAGTTTAAACTCACCAACTAATGCAAATGATGAATGCAAAAAGAAAAGTGACATGCACTCTAAAAAACTCATAGTAATCTACAATCTATATGCCATATTACTTGTAAAAGAGGTGTATATTATACTACCCTAGTATTGTGCGTATAGAGAGATTAGGGTAGGTAAAGTTTAAAACAAACTTGGAAACTAGTTCTTTGAAAGGTTTGATCGATCATCGATCAACAATATTCCAGAGGTCTATGATTGACACCTTGATAGATCGAAGTCTTCTGTAGGTTTATACTTTGAAAAATGTTCTACAAGGAAGTTTCCAAAAAAAAAATTTCATGCAAGGTTAAAATATTTAGGGAATCAAAATAAAATTGAAACATGGAAATTTAGAAACCATAAGCATGCACAAACCCTATTTTGATGAGTACATTAATGTGTCAATTTACCCGTATACCCTTGTACATGAAAATTACCCAATTGCCCTAGGATGTAGCATGAATTCCATCTTTGACATTGGGAGGTAACTAACACTAACTTTTGAAAAACCTCTAACCTAAGCTTAAAAAAAAAAAAGTGACACAGACAAGTTTTGATCTACAAAGTTTGCCAACCTAAGTTCTATTGACCTCACAAAGGTAATTAACTAATGCTTTTAGTTCATCAGAAACATTTCTTTAATAAACCATTAATACAAGAAAAAAAGAAAAAAAGAAAAAAAGAAAAGAAGTATTGGCTTTGAGGTACTCATCGACTGGCAGATCCAAAATTTACGAGAAAAATGGAATTATATATATTTGACTCTATTCAATACAAGACAATCAGGGAGGCAACATTTTCACCAACTATAATAGAAGAATTTGATGAATAACCTTCCACATAACAGTGAAGTACTGAAATAATATAAAGAACACAATTGCCTTAAAAAACTAGTATGGAAGTATTGCAACAATCCCATGCCATATATTACCTGCTCAAGGAAAACAACTTCTGTAAGCAACTCAAAGAGAATCTGCTACAATGCAAAGGCATAAGTTCCACAGTTTCAACAGGCAAAGAGCATGTTCGTGATGCACATCGGTCCAAGGTGGAAACTAGTCGTTGCAAAATCTGTGATGATCAAAATTGTAGAATAACAATCAAATTTGCAAGCCATGTGTATAAGAAATGTGGTGCTTCTAGAGGCCATAGTACTCAATTTCATTATATTACTTAATTTATCAGTGATTCATCAAGCAGAAAAAAACAACTAATAGTATAATTAAGTGAAGGACAGACCTATAATGTGGTATCGTAAATAATAAACGAATCAAGTGGAATCAGAAAAATGCACTGTGTATAGAAGTGGGAAAAAGACACATTAAATTTGTAAACTGTGGACTAGGTGATATACAGGATAAAGGGTAGATTCAAACAGAAGAAACTGCCAGATTCCCCAAGTAATTGAACACCTTCCTGAAAGAGGTTATTAATATGGGCTAGGTGGGCGTGGTTATTTTTCTTGGTGAGGGTTTCATCATTATCATCATCATCATCATTATTTTCTCCATTACTATGATATCCTTTTACGTTTAAATCATTTTACATGTTTGATCATTAATTTTTACAGAAGTAGTGGGGTCATCAATATAAATTTGTGTAGAAATTAAAACCAATCATAATTGATATTTCGGGTCTTATAGTGATAATAAAAATGAAAAATAATAATACCACCACCAAGAATAAATGAATACCAAAGCCAGTTGCCTAGTGATATCTCCTCTCCTTTCAAAGTGGAAGGTAGAGGGTTTGAGTCTCCCCAAGGGCAGTATGGGAGGTCTTAGCCAGGACCAAAAGAAAAAAAAATAATAATAAAAAGTAATAATAAATGAATGAATGAATTCAACATATTTTTCAAAAAAAAAAAAAAAGAAAAAAAAAATCAAATAATGTTGCTTGACACTATTCATTTAAATACTTTATATCTTGCGATTTTTAATCAAAGTTAGGTAGAAGAGAAAATTACATCAGGAGAAGCATCGATCTGCGACTTAAGAATCTTGTCACCAAGGACATCTAAAATATTCATCTCGAGAGACTCATCAGCTTGAAGTACCGCATCTGAGAGAGAATTGGAAGGGAGGGCACGACCACAATACCCCACTAGAAATATTTCATAAACATCGGCAACTTCTTTCCAGATACGTATTCTTGCCAATCTAGTAATACTAGGATCTGCCCCACAATTCATAGCTAATATGCTCATATCATGGACAAGAATGCGGTTGAATCCTTCAACAGCTAGTCTCCAAAGTGCACCGTCAGGGTTGTCTCTTCTTGTTGTCATACACCTATAAATATGTATATAAATAAAACCCATTATGCAGAACCTAAATAACTCCATATTAGAAACAATGGATTAGTATCAGATATAGAAATGGAAGTTATAAGGGGCCTGATGCTTGAATTTCCCATCACCAACTAAAAAAGTATGTTACAGCTACAGCAAAGAAAAGACTCAAAAACCAAAAGTAAAGAAGTTGATCACAGGCAGGCAGCCAAAAGAGCTTTAGTAAGAAAGTCTAGATACTCGAGAAGGTGGACAAGCACATCAAACTAAAGAAGACTTGATAACTGCTAGCAGATATGATAGCCATGATTTATGGAATGACTTACCGTATTAGCAAAGATTTGATTATGCCATAGAATATGCTATATAATATGTTGTGATTTGATTTAGATTTGATTTAATTTCCTTTCTTGTAATATGAGCATGTGCTCTTTTTATCTATAAATTCTAGAGTTGTGAATGAGTGATTAATCTCATTCAAGCATTTACACAATTCTCTCATTTCTCTTCTTTTTATATTTCTACTCGGTATTAGAGAGAAGGTGGTCCGAATGCAATGAGGGCATTGCGAGTTCGGCACCACTCATTCGGGAATGGTCTAAAGTGACATCGCCCATCCGAGAGGTGTCGGGTAGGCAGAGTGATCCGATCTTAATGAAGACATTGCGAGTTTGGCACTACCTATTCAGAAATGGTCAGAGGAGATAGTAATTTCTTTTTATGGTCTAAGTAGACATTGTTGATTCTTTCATCTACATTGTTTAAACACATGTATGAAGGGCAATGGTTTGAGGAAACATTGTTGATTGTTCCATCTACATGTTTTAAACATGTGTATGAAAGAAAATGGTCTGAGGAGACATTGTTGGTTGTTTACGGTCTGAGGAGACATGATTGATTGTTTATGGTCTGAGGAGACATTCATTGTTTATGGTCTGAAGAGACATTTTTGATTTGTTGATCAGCACTTCATCTGAGAGAAAATCATCGCTAGTCAGATTTGAACTCCATTTGTCACAAGCACCTACCAGCTTGCAGACATTCTTACAAAGGGCGTCAGCAAGATTGTGTTTAAGAATACAATGTTCAAGTTAGGCGTTTCAGATATCCACGCACTAACTTGAGGGGGAGTGTTAGTAGATATGATAGTCACGATTTATGGAATGACTTACCGTATTAGCAGAGATTTGATTTTGCTATAGAATATGCCATAGAATATGTTGTGATTTGATTTAATTTCCTTTCAGGTAATACGAGCATGTGCTCTTTTTATCTATAAATACTAGAGTTGTGAATGAGTGATTAATCTCATTTAAGCCTTTACACAATTCTCTCCTCTCTCTTCTTTTTATATTTCTACTATAACATTGGCAGTTGGAAAGCAGGCCATAGTGGCAATTACGAGTAAGATAGTCCCCAGCCACCAAGATGCCGGGGCCAACTGATCGGTGAAAATAATGCCAATAGCCATGAAAGAAATTTCAAATCCATATGTGAAGTCTGAAGACAAATTGGCTGACATCTTTACTAAAGCTCTTGGGAGATCAACTTCTGTTTTCCTTCCAGAAGAAAACCCTAGCTTTCATAAAGCAATTCTACCATGACCCACAGGTGCATATAGCATTCATATAAGACACAGTGGCTACTGAGGAAACAAACATATTATCATCTTTCATCCATTATCATCTGTATGAAACCTACTAATTTTGCAATTTATGAATCCAACGTAAAAAGGCAAGGAACTTAGTCATTGGAGACAGCGCATACGTTGAACACTGCCTCTAAAAAGAGCCATCCTAAGATCACCAAGTAGTGCTTAGATCATCTTTCTGCAGCACATGGCTAATCAGGAAGACTCCAGTGTATGAAGCCTTTGAAAACTAGATAATTATTACCTGAGATATGATAGCCTAGAATCATGGAATTTGACTTTATTTACACATATATTTAGGCATAGAATCTGCTATATATTTTATTTGGTTTCCTTTCTTGTAATATTTAACATGTGCTCTTTTAGTATTAAAAAAACAGAACTGTGAATGAGTGAGTAATTCGCATGCAAGTCTTTACATATTTCTGTTGTATTCTTGGTATCAAAGCCAGCACCTTTCCATAACCTCCGGCAACCTTGCGGCTAGTGTGACAGCCACCTTAGGCTGTTTGCAACACCCTGTGACACTGCCTGCACATGGTCCTGTGAGGTGTTGTTTTGTTATCGATATGTTTGTTTCCTTAGATCTTTAGGGTCCTTCTAAGGTTCCTTCTTTTGGTGGTTCTCGATATATATTGACTTTCATTGATGACTTCTCCAGTAAAGTATGGATCTATATCTTGAAGCACAAACATGAAGTGTTCCTTAAGTTTAAGGAGTGGAAGGCCATGATTGAAAAACAGATCGAAAAGAAGATAAAGCGTCTTAGAACAGATAACGGTTTGGAATTTTGCTCGGGAGAGTTTGACAAGTTCTGCAGAAATGAAGGCATTGTCAGACACCATACAGTTTGGAAGACTCCACAACAGAATGGTGTAGAAGAACGCATGAACAAGACTTTTTTGGAGAGAGCCCGATATATGCTTTTCAATGCTGGGCTATCTAAGGGATTTTGGGCTGAAGCAGTCAATACAACTTGCTATTTGGTGAACAGGTCTCCATCGACTGATATTGAGTGCAAAACACCTGAATAGTTATGGTCTGGTACTCCTGCTGATTACTTTAATTAAAGAGTTTTTGGATGTCTTGCTTATGCTCACGTTAATGAAGGAAAATTTGAGCCAAAGGCCAAGAAATATATTTTCATTGGTTATGCAACCTAAGTTTATTACTAGCAGGGATGTTACTTTTGATGAATCTATTTTACTTCACCCGAAAAAGGAGTCTTTTGTTACGGGTGAATCTCAGGATGTAAAGCTGCAGGTGGAGCTTGACTTTGAAGCTCCAGAGAAACAAGATAACACTCCAGTTCGGTCCAATGTTGAAGAGGTGCAGGATGATCATGTATTAGATTTGCAACAATACAGTATTGCTTCAAGGAGACAAAGAAGGTAGATTAAACCACCTCAGAGGTATGCTTATGCAGATTTTCTATATGGTGAGTGTGAAGAAGAGATTTATATGCATCAACCAAAGGGATTCGTTGTTCAGGGAAAGGAAGACCACGTTTACTTATTGAAGAAATCCTTGTATGGATTGAAGCAATCTCCAAGGCAGTGGTACAAGAGGTTCGACACTTTTATGGTTGGACATAGCTACTCAAGAAGTAGCTATGACAGTTGTGTCAACTACATGAAGCTTTTAGATGGTTCTTTTGTATACTTGTTGTTATATGTTGATGACATGCTTATTGCTGCAAAAGACATATCAGAAATCAACAAGTTAAAATCTTAGTTGAAGACTGAATTTGAAATGAAAGATCTTGGCGTAGCGAAGAAGATTTGAGGCACGAAAATTCAGAGGGATCGCAAAGTTGGCAGGTTGAGCTTGCCAGAGGAGATATATTGAGAAAGTGCTAAAACGGTTTAACATGTAGAATTCTAAGCCTCTGAGCACACCACTTGCTGCTCATTTTCATCTTTCTGCAGCTTTATCACCACAGACCGAGGAGGAGAAGGAGCACATGTCACGTGTTCCTTATGCTAGTACAGTTGGTAGCTTGATGTATGCAATGGTTTGCACTCGCCCTGATATTTCACATGCAGTTAGTGTTGTTAGCAAATATATGGATAATCCAGGGAAAAAGCATTGGCTAGCCGTGAAGTGGATTCTTCGGTATTTGAGATACTGCAGATATTGGCTTAGTTTATCAGAAGAGCAATGATTAATTTGGTAGTGTTGTTGGTTTTATGGACTCCGACTACGCTGATGATTTAGACAAAAGAAGATCTCTGACAAGATATGTCTTTACTCTCTCAGGTTGTGCAGTTAGTTGGAAAGAAACTTTACAATCTACGGTTACTCTCTCAACTAGAGAAGCAGAATATATAGCGGCCATTGAAGCAGTGAAGGAAGCCATTTGGTTGAGAGGTTTGGTTAGTGATTTGGGTTTGTAGTAGAGCTCAACTATTATTTATTGTGACAGTCAAAGTGCGATATATTTAACCAAAAATCAAATGTATCACGAGAGGATCAAACACATTGATGTCAAATATCATTTTATTCGAGATGTCTAACTTGAACGAGTTACTACATTGAAGAAAATTGGTACAATTGAAAATCCAGCAGATATGATGACAAAGCCCATTCCAGTTTTCAAGTTCAAGCATTGCTTGGACTTTGTATTCTCAAATGTTGAAACTGCCCTTAGAGGCTTTGTGGAGAAGACAGTTTGTTTGGCAGATCTAGTGGCTCATTCGAAATTTTTCGCCAATGTGGAGATTTGTTGGATTACGTGGACATGCATGTAATTGCATTCACAGTAATATGTTTTGGCTCAACTTTTAGTCAGCTACCCATGCTTGGAGAACAAGTATTTGATTGATGTCTTCCAGCTCACTTATTGGGACTTGTGCCAACAAGTTCATTCATTTAAGCTGCTCATTTGTTTGGTCAACAATTGCTGCTGTTATTGCAAACAAATAAATTTTTTTTTTAATTGGTTCAAATTGAAGCTTTATATTACTTGGACAGCAAGCTCAGTTCACCGCCTCATAGTTGCCAACTTTTGGTGAAGCAAACACAGCTGCATATGCGCGATTAGCAAGCTCAATAGCCGACTTGCTTGGCTATAAATATAGCCGAACTCCACCATGTATCATTATCAGATTGAGTGTCCTTGGTTTCAATGTTAGTAGTGGGAATTGAGTAAGAGAGCTTGGGTGTAATTGGGTTTTTGGTGTGAGCCACTTTGCCTTGTATCTCTTTATTTCCATAGTGAAATATTGTTCTGTCTTCTTCCGTGGACGTAGGCATAGCCGAACCACGTAAATTCTGTCTCATTTGTGTGTGTGCCTCTATTTTATTTTCTTGTCATTAATTTTCTTCTTCTCGTAAACTTATATTCGATCCTTATTTCATAACAGGATATTTGACGCATTTCTGTAGGGACAGAGTTATGAAGTAAAAAGGGTTCAGTTCTGCTAAGAACTGTAGGGGGGTTTGACCAAAATATAAAACTGTAGGTTTCAAAATCATTAGAACACAACTCCCTTATTTTAGTGAATCTGACTATGGTTCAGTTAAGAAGCTTGTCTGCACTATAAATAAACAGGCTGCTCCTTCAAGAATTCCACAATCTAAGCATAGACGTATTCAATACCACTATCAGAGCAAAGAGGAACGCATACCTTGCAAGACCTTGAACAATTTCCGGAAAAGTTTTATACTTCTCAACCGTTGGAGCCTGTAGGAAAAGATCAACCAGAACAGTGACGATCTTCTCTGCAAACAGAAAAGATGAAAGGCCTGCGGTTGTTTTGTTTGATACAGATCTCAAAGATGAATTTTCTATGTTGTTTGAGGATGGGGAACCGGCACCATTAGGAATCTCAGCATTCATCATCTTATTAGAATCTGTAGAAATGATCAATTTTAAAACTTTTGCTTCATTAGATCAAAATCTATGTCAGGTGCTACTTCTATACCATGAATAAGATCTCCGATGCTGGCCTGCACTAGTTCATCTTCTTCACTTTGTGAAAGAGAATCAGACCTTGGAAGATGTTCCAGAAGTTCCTGGAGAAGGAGAAGCCACATTGAAGAAAGATGCTCAGCAGGACGTAGCAGTGGTAAGATTTCTAGCACAGTACGTTGCACAGGTGGAACATGTCCCTGTAGAAAATCAGCTGGAATCTCATTAGATTGAATTTTATCTAGAGTGGAAATTAGATAAAAGTATTTAAAATATGTTTTTTCTGCTCTTTCATTTAAGATCAAGTTTAAACCTTGAAAAAAAAAAAAAGAAAAAAAAAAAAAAAAAAAAAATCAAACCACCCCACATCAGCTGAAATTTCCTCAAAATAATGGAACTTCATTGCACAAAAAGATTAATAGAAATTGGATTATTAGTATTTTATTTGAAATTTTGTTAAAAAAAAAAATGCATAGCACCCATAAAATATTATTTGATATTAATAAATCATACAACTAAAATAAATCTATCATTATAAAAACATTTACTGGTGGTACTATAGTCCCAATGAACAATGGTACACATATATAATCAAAGTGATGATTCCCTTCTAGTAAATTAAACTAAAGAAACATGACACTTTACTTTCAAAGTGATGAACTACTACTGAATGAGAAACTGACTTACAAATTCAGCTTCAAAGTTGCTATTAGAAATCTTGTCTTGTTTGACTGCCATATGGATGACTGCAAGCAACTGTGAGTACATGCCATTGTCAAACATCGCTTGTGCTTGAACATATAATTCTCCTGTCAATTTTTTAAGAGATGCAAAGAAACAAAATCATGATCATTGCTCAGGATATGATTCCCATCATCAGGAAACAATAATGATCCATGTTTCCTTGATCAACGAATATTAATAGAAAACAAATTAAAATGTTACATCCTCTAATAACTTAAGCTTGTGGAGTTGATGGTCAACATGGTATTAAAGCCAGAAAAGTCCTAAGATATTTATAATAGATGCATGTGCTGACCCACTCATGATGGAGAGTTTGGTTGCCCGTAAGGAGGAATGTTAGAGAATATAAATAAATATACACCATCTCTAACAACTTAAGCTTTTGAAAATAGATGCTTTCTAACAACATGACGCACTGTATGCCTCAAGCATTGCAGATGCTGAGTGGATGCAAATCATTAACGGTGCTTTAGTTAGGATTGAGGCAGTCAATGGTGCCTTGAAAAGTGTTTAGTCAAAGTCAATTAAAAATAATTACGGTGTGGAAATATGAATGTGTCATGGGATTAGATGTTATTAATGCTCCGTGGGTAGTCCAAAAGTCGGTCTAGGAATTGAAGTATCATTAATAGTCTTATTATAAAAGGGACAGACCTCTATATATGTTATATTCAAGTCTTAGCAATACAATTTTGACATATTTTTAGAGTATAAACTTCTCTCAAGGCTTTTCCCAGATTTCCCTTTAGAAATCTAGGCTCCAACGGTGATTGGAGTATTTCTAGTCTTCCTTAGTGCTGTAAGAAGACACTGTTTTTTTCAGTTTGCTTCAAGTGGTATCAGAGCCTTTCCTCTAAGATCTGTGATTACTGCAGATCTATGGTTGGGCAAGGAAACAACCAAGTGAGCAATACAGAAACATCTCAAACAAATGCTGGAAATGTGGCTAAAAAAGAAGATTTGGAGAACCTGCAGCAGCATTAGTTGTGCACCAGGTTGGAGCAATCTGGAGCAATCCGATCGTTGGAAGACAAAGGGGACATCAAATGAATGTATATCAACGTGGAAATTGGGGGAACCAGCCTGCTGCAGAAAGATTTCAGCAAGTTGCAAAAGAATTTTCAGATGAAGAAGATGGAGTTTTACCATATGCAAGGCAGCCGGTATTTAATTGTAACCGGGATCGCATAGACTCATATCAATGTGAAAATTGGACAGAAAAGTGTAGTAGAGGAAAAATTCAGCAGCATAAGCAGTTCAAAAGTGCAAAAGGGGGTGCTGCCAAATCAGTTGAACAGTTGCAAAATGCTTGAACAACAATGGTGAACCATAGTAAAGAGTCTGAATTTTGGTCCCGCACATGAGGAGTTGAGATACAAGTCTGCCATGAGTGCAATAATTTTAGATAATCACGTAATCAATGCAAAACAACTCATCATTGAGGAAGATGTTGGAAATTATGTTGATTTTGTGGATGTCACTTCAGCTTGGGATGAACTTTCTGAATGGGTAGATAAAGAAGATGAGACACTCGAGGAAAGCTCAACTTTCTCGCTTCAAGAACTTGACAACAATAACGAGGAGTGTGATGAAAAAACAAAGGCGGAAGAGGAGAATCTTGAAGAAGCAGCCAAAAACACGTTAGAAGCTGAGGGCGAGTTTTCTTCAAGGAGGAGGGTCTGATGCAAATCATTAATGGTGCTTTAGTCAGGATTGAGGCAGTCAATGGTGCCTTGAAAAGTGTTTAGTCAAAGCCTATAAAATAGTAATTATGGTGTGGAAATCTGAATATGTCATGGGAATAGAAGTTGTTATTAATGCTCTGTGGGTAGTCAAAAAGTCAGTCTAGAGAATTGAAGTGTAGTTAATGGTCTTATTATAAAAGGGACAGACCTCTATATCTATTGTATTAAAGCCTTGTCAATACAATTTTGAGATATTTTCAGAGTATCAACTTATCTCAAGGCTTTTCCAAGATTTCCCTTTAGAAATCTAGGCTCCAATAGTGATTGGAGTATTTCTAGTCTTCCTTACTGCTGTAAGAAGACACTTTTTTTTTTTTTCTTTCTATTTGCTTCAGTGGAGAGGATGGATATCTCAATATTTTTAAGTTACTGAAATTACTAGCTCATGTATATGGGGTATAGGGGAAAAAATAAAAATAAAAATAAAAAGAAAGTGTAACTATAAAAATCCATGTTGCTTTGATGCATTACCAAGACCATGTAAAATCTCTTGCTTCACCTTGCTAGTTGCATTACTACCGCAATTTAGTGACTCTTGAAGGACAAGCTCATACACATCGAGTACTGATTTAAGGTAAGCCATTGGCAGGTTTCCCTGATTCATAAAATAATTTCAGTTAAATGTTGAGAATATGCAAGAAGAAACAATATATTACTGTTATATGCAATTTGTTATCATCAATATTATCATAACAGAACTTTTGCACAAACCACGGGTTCACCATATTTTCCTTCAAAGTTCAAACAAGAAGCAGTAACTGATTTCGAAAATTTACCTTAGGAGAATGAGAAAGGAATGTGGATTGCAAACAACTTATTGCAGCAAGGGCAACCTCTTTACTGCCATTTAAAATGCTATTTTTAAGAAAAAGAAGCAATGATTCCCATCCTGCAGATATAAAACATCCAATATTAGCTGTGGGAGCTGGTAACAAAAAAATATAATGAGATTTAATGTCAAAAAATTTAAAAGAAAACTGTGGACTTACCGGACCAGAAATTGCTTAAACTTCTAAGAAAAGGAAAGAAAGAACGTAGAAGTCGTGCTATTCCACCTAGGACCAGTACTAGTGTTTCATCCCACTGTTTCTGAGCTGTGTTACGACTGCAAATCCATTTGATAAATGACACAGTGGGTATAATTTTGGGGGGGGGGGGGCAAGATTAAAGAATTGGTTTTATATACCTGTGATGAATAAGCATGTGAACTGCTTTTCCTCCTCTTGTTCCAAGTTCTTTCCCATGCCATTCATCTTTTGATGAAGTTGCAGCCTACACACAGAAGTGAAGAACTATTTGTTGACGGATTTAAATATTAAAGTTACACCCACTCTAACTGCTTAAGCTCTTAGAGTAGATGGTAGTTAACATGGTATCAGAGCCAAAGGTCTCGAGTTCAAACCTCTCCGTCACCCTAAAAATTAAAATTGAAAAACATGTTGGACCAAAAGAAGGCCACACGTGAGGGGGCGTATTGAATGATTTAAATATTTATGTTACATCCTCTCTAACAACTTAAGCTTTCAGAGTAGATGGTAGTTAATAATATAAATAAAGAAAACAAGAAAGTTCAAATTGCATATACGAAATCATTTTAGCTCACCATGTGAGAAGCACGATCTAATGTGGGGAATACGTAATTCCAAAGACAATCTTCCCATGTATTTTTTGAAAGCTTTTGCCCATGAGTTCCAAGAGTTTGAAAAAGTGTCCTGACAGCAGAATTCCTAACCTGAAATATAGAAAAGGCCAAGCCACAGTCAATGTTAATAAACATAGACATACAAATTTCTTGATGGGTGGAGTAGACTTCTTTCAAACTGGCAAATGAAGACCAAAATCATAAAAGACAATATACAATGATGTAAGCACAATATAAAAGGAAAAGACAATTTTTTTTTTTTGGTAAGGAAAGGAAAAGACAAGTTCAACAAGGCTGTGGGATGATATAGAAGTTAGCAAAAATTATTTCAACCACCAAAAGTGTCACCTCTAGAATGTTCATCTAAATATTTTGAACAATATAAGTCTGTCTTCTTTTGATCATACTCAAGGTTTTTAGGATCGGGATCTAGCATTGGATCGATTAGGAGGTCCCTAGGATTGGACCGAAGATCATAAGATCCTATAAAATGAGTGAAAAAAAACACTCCAAAACTATATTTAAGAAAGTGTTAAAACTACATATAGAAAATGTTTAAAGCATACAAAAAATAAAAGTAATTACTGTAATTGTTGGAAATCATATCTATAGATGGACTCAATGATTGTGGCAGATTTATTGGGTCTTCATTATAGGCTTATGTTTAGGCTTTTGTTTAGGGATTTGATTTTTATTCTCTTTCCATATTTGTAATTTTCCACTTGTATATAATGATAGTCAGGCTCTCAAATTGAGTATGCCAATTTTACCAAATCATTTTATTGGTATCAAAGCCTAAAACCTACGCCTCTCCTCTCTCCCTCTTTCACCGCCTTTTTCCTCTCTCTCTCTCTCTCTATCTCGTCACAGCCCCTTCCTTCTTTCTTTTCATCGCAGACTCTCTCTCTTCTTCAGGCCACTGTTGTGACAGTCTATAGGAGTATTCCCTTAGTGTTTTTCATGCACCAATGCTGCGTTTGGTGTGCAGGAATGGAATGGAATGCTTATTCCAACCACTCCTTTGCTTGGTATGTAATTTAAAGTGAGAATGGGCATTCTATTTGAATGAAAATCTATTTAACAACTAAACCTATGGAATGGCCATTCCATTTCCAAGTAATTTAAAAAAAAAAATTAAATTCCCAAAAAACCCTCATGTTTCAAGTCCAAAAACCACTAACACCACCTTTGCCATCCACCACCACCACTGTCGCCGCTGCTACCACCACCACTGTCATCGCTATCGCCGCCACCACCACCATTGCCTTCCAACACCTGCCGCCACCGCCACCGCCACCTCCATTGCCTTCCACCACAGCCACTGCCATCGCCACCATTGTTGCCACCTTCAACCACCACACTATCGCCGCTAATACCAACTTCCACCATTACCATCGACCACTGCCACCTCCATTGCCTTCCACCACCGTTATTACCACCACAACTGTCACCATTATTGCCACCACTACCGCCGTTGTCATCACCACCACCTTCCACCTACACCATTACCAACTTCCACCACTCCCGCCGCTACCACTGTTGTCGCCTTCCACCACCACCACACCGCCACTGCAACCTCCACCAATACGGTCACCGCCATCGCCACCGCCACCGTCTTCCACCACCGCCACTGCCTTCCACCATCATCACCTACGCCATGGATGCCTTTCACCACCACCACCAGTACTTCCACCACTATCGCCACCACCGCCGCCCAACACAACCACCTACGCCACTACCACTTTCTACCTCCACCACCATCGTCACCTCCATCTACCATTGCCACAATTTCTTTTTAAAAAAATTATAAAAGAATGTTATTCTGTTAATTTAATTTATTTGTTAGTAATAGGGCATTTTGAAGAATTCAATTTGAAATTCATTCCATTCCAAATTTTAAATTGGTCCAACTAAAAAATTGAATGGTTATTATCATTCCATTTCTATTGTTTCATATTTGCAACCAAACAATAGAATGAGAATGGACATTCCATTCCACTTGCATTTCATTCCATTCGTGCACACCAAACGCAGCATACGGATCAGAAGATGTGTTTGGAATTTTTTGGTGCTGCCGGGATATTCGGCAGCGTTTTCGGATTGGACCACTGCATCTCCGGCTTCTTGGTTTGATCAAAATTAGGGTTATTCCTCCTTTATTTGAAGTTATTGGTGATTTGTTGAATTGCCTAATATAATATTATGGTTGATTCAAGTAATAATAAAGAAACTCTTTCTTCGGTGCAACACATACCGGCTCAACGAGTTACTAGTGTGCTGTTGAATGGCCATAATTTTGCATCTTGAACTGGTTCTTCTCGTACTGCTGCTGTTGCAGAGACTCCTGCTACTACTGGTGGACCTACTGTATTTCCTGGACTGAGCCAGCTTCAGTCCCAAATTGGGCAGATCCAAGATCAGCTTGGCTCCCTTGCTTCTAGAGTTGGTGCTCCTCCGGCTGCTCCCATTGCCACTATTGCTACAGTTACTCCTACTGCATTTCATGTTAAGGCCAAGCAGCCTACTTGGGTTCTGGATTCTAGGGCCAATGAACACATGAATGGTTGAGTTATCAGGTTTTTCTTCTAATGTCATACCTGTTACCTAATCTGTGTGTCTTGCGGATGGCTCTACATCTTACATTCACTATAAGGGTGATGTTTGTTTGTCTCCTGATATTACTTTTTCATCTGTCCTTCATGTACCTAAATTTGGATTTAACCTATTATCTGTTAGTCGGCTTGCAAAAAACATCCAATGTGCAGTTATATTCTTACCAGATCATTGTCTTTTGCAGGACCTTCGTTCGAAGAGGATTTTTTGCAGGGGTTATGAGCGGCTTTACTACTTTGGGGAACCACTAGGAACGGGTCTTCAAGCTTCTGTCCTACTTGCTTCTAGTGCTTATGATGTTTCTTTTCGCACTTTTAGTCTATGGCATGCCCGTTTGGGCATGTAAACTTTCAGTATCTATGTTTGTTGTTTCCTTCGTTAAATAAAGCATGTAAGAACCACAAGTTTCAATGTGAAGTTTGTGAGCTTTCTAAACATACTAGAATTAGCTATATTTCTCATATGAGTCGTGCTCCTAGTATGTTTGATCTTATCCACTCTGATGTTTGGGGGCCTTCCCCAGTCACTGCTTTCTTTGAGCATCGATATTATGTGACTTTTATTGATGATTATTCTCGTTGTACTTGGTTTTATTTATTGAAAAAGAAATTTGAAGTGCTTCTTTTATTTACCCAGTATAACACTATTGTCCGTAATATTCATTTTGATAATGGGCGTGAATATGTTTCGAACGAGTTCCGGACTGAACTTAATAAAAAGGGGATTTTACATCAACTCACTTGCCCCCAACAAGAAAGACAGTGATATAACTAGTAGAATTGGAGAGGGTTGGACCAAGTGGAGACAAGGTAGTGTGATTTTATGTGATAAAAGAATACCGCGTAGGTTAAAAGAGAAACAAGAACGTCATCATATAGCGGAAATGAGGATGTTAAGATAAAAAAGTGGAGTGACTCAGAGATAGGATCAGTAATGGAAGTGTGAGAGAAATATTAGGGTGGCCCCCATAGGTGAAAAAATTAGAGAGAGTAGACTTAGATGGTTTGGTCACATACATTGGAGACCTAGCGACGCACCAGTGAGGAAGACTAGTTGTAATTGTCATACAAGATAAAAAACAAAGAGGGCAACCAAAACTAAGTGGGATGAGGTTATTAAAAATGTTTTTAAAAAATTAAATATAGTAGGCGAAATGGCACATAATAGAAATTGGGAAAAGAGAATTCAAGTGGCCAATCTCATTCATACCGGATTAAGGCAAAGATGATGGTGATGGGAATAATTAAGCCAAGAAAGTGAAAACAAAATCCTTGTATTTTTTTTTTTTGATAAGTTGTATTTTAGTTTTGCTAAAGTTGCATTTAATGTATTTGTTAACCACCATCTACTGTAGAAGCTTGAACTGTTAGAGAGAGTGTAACTTAATTATTTTGTCGTATTGTGGCCTGAATTTGGTGTACACATGACCCGGGAAATTTTTTGCTCATGGGTCGTGGACCCTAATTAGTTTCTTGCAGCCCGATATATAAGGGCACTTAGGGTTTGGAGTGGTTTATGAGAGACTCTGAAATTCGTGCAGAAACAGAGTTTCCAATTTTACACCACTCCAAACCCTAAGTGAAATTTTTTGTCAGATCCCAACCGTAGACGTAGGCTGTTGCCGAACGACATACAAATAGTTGTGTTCTTTGTGTGGTGTGTTTACTTTTCTGTCATGATTCTTGATTCAACTTGGGTTCATTGCGTTTGTCATAACATATTTAAATCCTCTAACACGGCCCCTCACATGTGGCCTTCTTTTGGCCCAACACATGTTTCTCAATTTTAATTATTGATGAGGTTTGAACTCGAGACCATTGGCTCTGATACCATATTAACCACCATCTACTCTAAAACTTTATGCTGTTAGAGAGGGTGTAACTTTATTATTTAAATCCTCTAACGATATCCAATACTCGTCCAACTTATATTGTCAATTGGAATATGGGAAAAACATTGAACTGACGAGCAACGTTCTGATGATTGTCAATTCTAGCATTTTTTTTTTCTCTCTCTTAGGGTAGTTCTTCTAGCAGGAATCTGAGAAGCACCCTTTTGCTAATTGAATCTACAGTTTTGATAGTATTATTATATTAATTTTCTTACCAAAATACCACATAAAGGTTATCATCCATTTAATAATTCATATTAATTTTCTTACCCATCAAATTTACATCTTAAAGGTTATCATCCATCTAATACTTCGTCTTTGTTTTCCTGTTCAGTTAGATGAAAATGTGAAGGCCTTTAGAAATTATATAGTGCAAAAATGATATTATGATAGCAAAGCACAAAGAAACTTCTCTCATAAACTAGCAATCATACCTCGGGTCTCTCATCAGCTCCTAGCTTTTTAAGTAAAGAGAACACTGAAAATAGCAACTCGTCAGGATTAACTGCATTTGTGAAGGGAGCTTGGTCATGAACTATACCAATGTTAAGTTCTTCCCTCTTTTCACCATCGATTTGATTTGAAATCAAATGTACATCCAGAATTCCTGGAATGTTGTAAGATAAGAGAGTGCTACAAAGTTACAAGTATATGTTCACTGCAAAGACAACTACATAGATCAATAGCTTTACAATGGCAACTGAACCTGTTTCCTTTTCCTCTGCAGGCCCGTAGAGAAGCCCCTTTGCAATAAAATCAGTTGTAGTCCATAAAAGTCCTACTGCTGTCAAGCTTATATTCAATTCAGTTTTCTGGGTGCTGTATGCCCCAGTTACATCTATACATCTGCAGAAGTTGAAATAATACCGGTAAGAGCCCAGTACCTGCTGAATACTGATGATAACAAAGAAAATGTCTATAAATTCAAGGAACATGTCAGCAAGCACAACTCTTAAAGCCTAACCCCAACTATTTGGGATAAACTACAGGTAATCCTTGTTCATCAGTTTGCTTAAATGAGGGCCATGTGAGCGAAGAATGGAGGCTGTGCAGCGCAAAAAAAAAAAAAAAAAAGAAAAAAAACAACATAATAAGGTTATCAAGTTATATACTAGAAATTGAGAAGAAAATACTCATTCCCTTCTTATAAGCCAATAGGTTCTCTAAAATATATATCCCCCAGGTAGTCTTTAGAAGTAAAATTTGAATTTCAGGACTTCATTTCCAATGTCTTAAGTGGTTCTTCATTAAATTATTCTGGATTTGAAGGGTTTCGGACGTTGCAGAGGGGAGGAGGTCTCGCCGGAAATGGTCGTCGGCCTTTTGTGCAGCAACGGGATCAATCAAGATGACGCGGTGTTCTTCACGCCTTTCAGGCGCGTGGGAGGGGGTGGTTTCCTGATAGTCCATGTGGTTGGCGCTCAGGCCCTATACGTTCCCAGTGGAGAACAGCTGTTCCCACGATCATTTCAAATTCTAACTTTGCTGGGCTGAATGGTGGGCTTGGTTCCAGGGCTATTGTTTCTTCAAATGTTTTGCCTAAGCCTGCTGGACTCCTTATTGGGCCTAAAAGACCTCCTTCAGTTTATAAGAGGCCTATTTCTGGTATTGTGGATGGCGGGCCGTGTCCCATTTACTCTAAAGAATTGTCTGTTGGTGGACAGTGTACCCAATCTTCTAAAGAAGCTACTGTTGGTGGGCCGAGCGTCCATTCTCCTAAAGTTTTTTCTGTTAGTGGGCCGAGCGTCCACTATTCTAAAGAAACTTATGTTGATGAGCATTTGGGGGTTAAGGTTGGACAGAACTGTGGATCTGGGTTGGGATCTAACAGTTTCGAGCCCTTGTCTTCATTAGGAGATGTCTCAGGAGATGCCTTGGCTCCTTGTGCGACTGGTTCGATGAGAGCGAGAATCAAGGGAGATCGGAGAGTGAAGGAGCAGGTGCTAAGACATCGTTTGCCTAAGAAAAAGGTTATCCTTCCTGCTCTTCGCAAAAAGTGGTCTCGAAAGGAAAAGCAAAAATGGGTGGCGTCTTCGCAGATGGGTTTTGACTCCGGTATGTTTTCAGTTCCTTCAGGTTCTCCCTCTCCTAAGATGTGCTCTTCTTCCACTTCCTCTCCTTTCTTGGGGGGGTCGACCACTTCTCTGGGACTGGAGTTGGGTGGTTCTACTAATGTTTCTCACTCTTTAGCTTCGGTGGGTGAGAGGGAATCTGTTTTGACCGACAGGCCGGATGGTGTTGCTGGGAATCGACTTGGCTTTTCTCGGAGATGTGATGGCTTGTGTGAGGGAGTTATAGTTTGTGTAGGTCGGGATGTAAAGTTGAAACTTGATGATGATACGGCCTCAATTCTGCTGGAGTTAAGAAACCATTTGGCTTCAAAAGGTTTTTTCTGTGATTCAGGAGGAGTTTTGACTGAGGAGGAGCCTGTTTCACAGTTTTGTTCGCATTCTTCTTCTGTTCTTGATGATTGGGAGGAAGCTGCAGGTTCTTCTTTTGATGGGGATTCGGGCATGATTCCATGGGAAGACTTGGAACAAGCAGTGAATTTGGCTGTTGTCCCCCCCGGAGGGAATTGGACCAGTGCCTCGACAAATGTTGGGGTGAATGACACTAAGGAGTGGGTGAGGGAGAAGGGTCTGGAAGTGGGCCCTCTGCTGGGTGTTTCTTTTGAGGGTAGGGTGGACGAGGCGATGTGTTTGTTTAATGATGTTCTCAAATCTCATTTTTAGAAAAAGGAGGTTGATAAGGTGGGGTTGCAGGAGGAGAAAGGGGAGACAGTGATGCAAAGTCCAAATGACCTTATCACGTATGAGAGGAGAAATCGGGGGTCTAGATCAGGAGGGAAAGGTGGAGGAAGGGAAGGAGGGTTGGTTATCCCAAGTGTTTCCCAATGAAGCTACAAATTCTTTCATGGAATGTTCGGGGTCTCAATGACCCGGTCAGGAGGAAAGTAGTGAAGTCGGTTATTCGTAAAGGTGGGGGCCATGTGGTGTGCCTCCAAGAGACTAAGCTTGCTTCGATGTCTGACAGGATTGTGAGGAGTCTTTGGGGTGGGAGATTTGTGGAGTGGATTGCTTTGGATGCTGTTGGTTTCTCGGGGGGCATCTTAATTATGTGGGATAACAGATGGGTGTCTAAAGTGGATGCTCAGGTTGGGCGTTTCTCTGTTTCATGTGTTCTTGCTTTGGCTGAGGATGGGGTTCATTGGGTTTTTTCGGGTGTCTATGGTCCTTCGAAGGACGGTTTGCACCATTTACTTTGGGAGGAGTTGGGAGAGATTAGACGTCGTTGGTGTTTGCCTTGGTGTATTGGTGGGGACTTTAATGCTGTTCGTTCTCCGTTTGAGAGGTCAACGGGAGATAGGTGGACATCTGATTTGGAGGCTTTCTCGGAGTTTATTGATGAGTTTGGATTGATTGATTTGCCTTTCGTTGGAGGGCCATTTACTTGGTCCAGTGGCTGATCTCCTCCTACCCTTTCTCGGATTGACAGATTCCTTGTGTCTGGGGAGTGGGAGGAGAGGTTCTCTGATGTTGTTCAGGCTACATTGGCTAATCCTATCTCTGACCATGTTCCGTTGATGTTGGATTGTGGCGGATTGTGAAGTAGGTGCTCTCCTTTCAGATTCGAGAACATGTGGTTGCGGGCTGAGGGCTTTCTGGAGAGGGTCCGTCTCTGGTGGGAAAGGTATGGTGTGGTTGGCACCCTTAGTCATGTGCTAGCAGGCAGATTGCGTCTATTAAAGGATAATCTTAAGACTTGGAATAAAGAGGTTTTTGGGAACCTTCAATGGAGGAAAAATCGGGTTCTTCCTGAAATAGCGGCTATTGATCAGATGGAGGGTCAAGGGGATTTGGTGGATTCTTTGAAGGCTGGGAGGGCAGAGTGCAAGGCGGAGTTTACTGAGATTGGTGTCTTGGAGGGAGATCTCGTGGAGGCAAAAATCTCGAGCTTTGTGGCTTAAGGAGGGGGATCGAAACACTAAATTTTTCCATAGATTAGCTAATGCTCATAGAAGAGGCAATCATATAGGGAGGATTCGAGTTGAGGGGGTCATTTCTTGTAAGGAGGAGGAGATTCACAAAGGATTCTCAGAATTTTTTGAGAATTTGTTCAACGAGTTTGTTGAGTGGAGACCTTTGCTCGAAGGGTTGCAGTTTGACTCCATTTCTGAGGAGGAGTGTTTGGGCTTGGAGTTACCTTTTTCTGAGGAGGAAGTTCTGTTTGTTTTGAAGAGTTGCAATGGGGATAAGGCCCCAGGTCCAGATGGTTTTACTATGAGATTTCTTCTTGAATGTTGGGAAGTGGTTAAAGGAGAGGTGATGGGCACTTTCCATGCTTTCCATTCTCGGGAATCTTTTGAGAAAAGCTTGAATGCCACGTTCACTGCTCTCATTCCAAAAAAGGGAGGGGCTTTGGATGTTAGGGATTTTCGCCCTATTAGCCTGGTGGGTTGCATCTACAAGCTGATTGCCAAGGTGCTTGCTTCAAGGTTAAGGAAAGTGTTGGATGGCATCATTTCGGACTCTCAAAACGCTTTTGTAGGAGGCCGCCAAATTTTGGATTCAGTTCTTATTGCAAGTGAATGTGTGGACTCCAGATTGCGTAGTGGAACCCCGGGTGTTCTTTGTAAGTTAGACATTGAGAAGGCGTATGACCATATAAGTTGGAGCTTTCTTCTGTACCTGATGGAGAGGCTGGGGTTCGGCGATAGATGGAGGAGATGGATTCATTTTTGTATTTCCAGTGCTCGCTTTTCGATCCTTGTTAATGGTGCTCCTACTGGTTTTTTCTCTAGTTCAAGGGGCTTAAAACAGGGAGATCCCCTTTCCCCCTTCTTGTTTTTGTTTGTGATGGAGGCCCTTAGTAGATTGATGAGAAGGGCTACTGAGTTGGGTCTTTTGAGAGGCTTCCGGGTGGGCAGGGAGGCAGATTCTCAGTTGGAAATCTCTCATTTGATGTTTGCTGATGACACTTTAGTTCTTTGTGATGCGAACGTTTCTCAGATTAGATATTTGAGATGTATTTTGATTTGGTTCCAAGTTGTTTCCGGCCTTAAAGTGAATGTGGGAAAAAGTGTTTTGGTGCCGGTTGGGGAGGTCCCTGAGATTGAGACTTTTGCCGATATTCTTGGCTGTCGTACTGGTTCATTTCTCATTTCTTACTTAGGATTGCCTCTGGGAGCTCCTTCGAGGTGTGTGGGGATTTGGGATCCAGTGGTGGACAGATTTGAGAGAAGGTTGGCGGGTTGGAAGAAGCAGTATCTCTCCAAGGGCGGTAGGGTCACGCTGATTAAGAGCACCCTCTCTTGTCTTCCCACGTATTTTATCTCTCTCTTCCAAATTCCCTCTTCAGTTGCGGAAAGGATGGAGAGGTTGCAACATAATTTTCTGTGGGGGGGGTAGAGGTGAAGAGTTTAAGTTTCATTTGGTGAGATGGGACCAAGTTTGCAGGCCAATTCGCAATGGTGGGTTAGGTCTCCATAAATTGGTGCCCCTTTAATAAGGCCCTCCTTGGGAAATGGTTGTGGAGGTTTGGGATGGAGAGACATTGCTTTTGGAGGAGGGTTGTGGCATGTCGTTTTGGGGAAATGAGAGGAGGGTGGAGTTCTTTGGAAGTTAGAGATCCTCGGGGGGTGGGGGTTTGGAAATTTATTCGGAAGGGTTGGGATGATTTTTCCAAGCACATTCGGTTTCGTCTCAGAGATGGGAGGAAGATTCGCTTCTGGGAGGATGTGTGGTGTGGAGATGTGCCTCTTGCCCTCGCCTTTCCTCAGCTTTACAGGATTGCTACGGATAAGCAGGCCATGGTGGTTAACTGTTATCATCTTGATAATGGAAGAC